AAACGTTGAAGCGTATTCTGCGAAACGGTTATGCAGGACTGTACGATACGGATATCGGTTTCTATTAGGAGCAAATGCCAAAACCGATATTCGTTTTGTAAGCTACGGATTTTTTTTAGAGAGTAGTGCTGATAACTTTGAACAGCTGCAAAACCTAATCATCGGACAGAAAAGCAGCTTGTCTTCACTATATCCTGTATATATAATGTCTTTGATCCCATGTATAGCATCAATAACGGATTCCATTCTGCATATCGTTAGCCATATGTGAGCAGGTTATTATATATCGATTAAAATCGATAGCACCTGTCCAGTTTACGTCAAAACTTCTAAATGCCGATTCGGCATCACGTTGCAATGTTTCCCAAGTTGTATGTAACAATGATGCAACGTATAATCTACAAAATGCTTCTCGGTCAATAATACCGTTCTGATTTGCATACATGTTAAATTCTTGTCGTAAATTTTCAATGTCATCTAACGACCATCCACTTAAATTTGATAAAAGCACATCATTTTTACGTGAATTCGATGAAACGATTGGTCCTGTCGAATTAGAAAAATGAGAAATCCGTTGAAATTGCTGTTGTGATTGCATAGGTATTGGCTGTGGTTGTTGGTTAACAGGTTTCTGTTGCATCACCATCGATGGATTTTGCTGTGCAAACGTGCCAAATTGCTGCTGATATCCGTAAGGAGGTGGAGTTAGAATTACGCCTTGTTTTCGTTTAAAAAAAATGTTACCCATGATTTCGTTCTACCGTGGCATATGACACTGTGGACTTTTATTCATAAATTTAACTATGAACAAAAAGCGAGTCGTCACATACTTAATAGATACCAAATGAATAGAGGAAAGAAAGCAGAACAGGAAAGATATTACAATTGTGTCATATACAATTCATTCTGTCTCATTCTCATCAACAAGAGGAAAAATCATTTGGTTGGAACGATCAATTAATAGGTCTACCAATTGCTGGGAAATCCAGAAAAAAGTAGTACATTTAAAAAACAACATAATTTTGTTTTTGTTAGTAGCAAGGTCGTTCGAACTTATATTAAACTACTGTGCCGCTAAATTCAAAAAATAAGCATAAAATGTTCGACCTTGCATACTGCGAAACAAGAACAGTCGAATAGAAGGACAAGGACATTTTCATTTGATAAAATTAAGAGACGGCATATACTATCTATTTGTAACGTATTTGTGACTTCCCTTAAAAATGATTAGTAGTTTACTCCAATATATAATAGCCCAGGTGATTCAATGCGGGCCATAAACGGGCATAAAATCGATTCAACGCGGTCTGTAAACGGCCGCAAAATCGATTTATGACGCCATAATCCTATGCTCTGTAATACTGCTGCTGTAAACGAGCATACACGAGCCCATTACGGCTGTAAACGGTCGCGTTTACAGCTGTAGTGTTACGGAGCATAGGATTAAGGCCAAATTACATCAAGTTACAGCCATGTTGCCGTGCGTGTTACGTTATAGTACAGGGTGGTAATTCGTCATATATGGCCATCGTAACCAATGACTTGGGACGTTCAGAATACACCTGAGTGTGTCTTTCGTATTCTATTTAAATAGATTTTTGAAATAAATCCATTCAGAGGATTTTAATCAAAAGTTCTTCAAATGGATCTCGAAATGGGAAGAATTGAATAGATTTCAACGGACATGACATGTCAAAATGCATTCAGATGTATTTCAGATACATTTAAATAGATTTATTAATTCATTTTGACAGATTTAGAATTTAAGAGACATTTCAATATATAGCAAAAAAAATTAATTTAAACAGACTTAATTGAAAATTAATTTGAACTAGTTTTTAAAAAAATTTCTTCAAATTAAATGCTTTTCATAACCCGAATGTTTTATTTATAAATATGGTAGACAATTAAATTGAAAAAAATGACACATTTCTTTTAAAGTGCTGTATTGAGCAGTACATTGTATTATATTTTGTAAAGTACAATTTAATTCAACAATTTTTGTTATTCAATTGAACAGTCAACGTATTTTCAGCTTGAAACATATCACCAGAAAAAAAATAAGGTTGGTTTTGAGTTGCTGAAAAGTGCTTTTTCATATCCAGTACACTCGATAACTCAGAAGGTTTTCTATTTTTGGTGAAAGGTACTTCAAAAAGTTTAGGAAAAACTTTCAAACTAATATTATTTTCTCATGGAAATTCTTTTGCGCCATTTTGTTTCAAAATTTCTCCCAAACTATTTGAAGTACCCCTCACCAAAAATAGAGAGTTATCGAACACTTATCTGGATACAACAGGAATTAGTTATTCTAATAAATAAATAAATATACAACTGTTATTCTGAAACTTGCTGATTTAATTTTTGTTCTCTAATTATACATTAACGACCTAATCTATTAATCAATATATATGTTGTAGCCAAACTGAGAATTCGGCCGGCCAAAACTGGAAGTCTAACTCTGGCTGGCTAAATTCAGAATTTGACGGGCCAAAGTTGAATTTTAATTTTGACCAGGTCAGAATCGAAATTTAGAATTATTATTATTATAATATTATTATATAATATTATATTAATTATTTATTCAACATAGTTTTCTTACATTTCATGAACAATGGCTTATTCAGAGGTGTAATATGCACACCAACTTTGAATAAAATCGAGCATTTGATCTTGGCGATGACTTTTCCTATAACCCAATGTTAATGGAATAGGTCTACCGAATTAAGAATCACAAATAAACACTGCCCCACATATAATGGGTTTTTAGGGATTTTTTTTTACTTTTTTTAGGTTTTTGTGTTCCTCTACTGGGTTAGTAGTGCATTAATAAATAACAAGCATGCAAATTATATTATATACAATTATAATTCAAGTTCTTCAAGTAGAATTTTTCTATATGCAAAACATGACCTTTCTCCAATATAGCATCTTCGTTTCTCTATGTACAAATATCTAATTTTCAATTCTATATTCTATTTTTATTCTATATTTTTGCAACCACCAGTTCGTTTTGAATGACATTTTGTAGAACACTAAACATTAGCTTTTTTGCAAGTTCAATGTTTCGTTGCACATTGAGATTTACAATCACACGTCGCACCACTCACTGATCCGCGTACAAATAGTTTACAAGCTTCAATCAATGCTATATTTTCCAATTCAGCAATATCAACAGCTTTCAATTCAGACGGACAGACATGTTTCAATGGAACCAAACTTTCGACTGTAAATGATGAAACCAGTTTCCCGAACTGACAAGCTAGTTGAAAAGCAACGTCATCTCCTTTTTTTTCTTTTGAAAATATTACTTTCAAAAGACTTGTACTTGTTATACTATTTCATTTTTCGTATCTTTCGATATTCATTCTTTGTCAGATATATCTCTGGCGTGACGATCTCTTTTCTTGTTTTTATTAATGCCTATGGTATCGCTACTTCTTTTTCTTTCACATTTCGTACTATTCAGTCTATTATATTCTTTTGTTAAAAGTTCGAAAATACTTTTTTTACATTTCTCTCTCTTTCTTCAATTTTAATATAAATAGTGGTGTCAAGTAATCATTTTGCATATATCATGTGCATATCATTCTACTGTATCAAAATAAAGTAAAAAAAATCTCATTATTCAAAATCTTCATTCTTTTAGAAAGACTCGATCTTCTTTTTACCTACAAGTCAACTAGATGTTCAACGTAATTTAATGTAATACTGATATATTCCGGTGATATACAGTATAGATTCTCTGCCTTGAGTATGATCTATGATTTGTTGTACAATAACCCCAACAAGTCAAGACAAGTGCTGGTAAAGAAGAGACTATATACGCCAGTATGGGAAAGAATTTGAACATCTAAAAGAACTATGTTGAATAAATAATTAATATAAGTAATAAAACAAACTATATAATAATTAATATAATATATATCAAAAAAGCTCGATGTTATTCAAAGTCGGTGTGCATATTACACCTCTGAATAAGCCATTGTTCATGAAATGTAAGAAAACTATGTTGAATAAATAATTAATATAATATTATACAATAATATTATAATAATAATAATTCTAAATTTCGATTCTGACCTGGTCAAAATTAAAATTCAACTTTGGCCCGTCAAATTCTGAATTTAGCCAGCCAGAGTTAGACTTCCAGTTTTGGCCGTTTAGATTCTAAGTTTGACCGGTGAAAAGCAGAATTTCAGTTTTGGCCGGCCAAATTCGGAATTTTCCATGTGTAGGCATCTCGATTCTAAGTTTGGCCGGCCAAATTCGGAATCTGGCCGAATTCTAAGTTTGGCCACAATATATATATATATCTATATGTTATGGCCAAACTTTTTCAGTCGACTTGGGTATACTCTCTCCGCTATGGTATAAGTAGTCTTCTTTATGAAGGAATTTCGATGAGATGTGATAGGTGTGCTTTTCTCGAATTAAAAATAAATAACTTACATTCATTCAGTCATAGCAGTATATATACTAAAATCGAACGTTACTTTCTAACTAACTGGAGCTCGCGAGCCAAAGTTAGAATTGGAGTCTCTCTTTCAGGAAAAATGTAGATTTTTGTCTCAAATTTTTATACAACTTTATTAGTGTTTAAAACCGACATAGAAATGAATCGATCATAGTTAGAGTTCAATATGAACAAAAGGTGGCTAGAATACTACTTCTCTTTCACGAATTTTATCCTTTTTTTTCAATAGTACATTTTAAAGAAGGACAGAAGTGCAAAAATACCTTTCAATAGCGGTTTTAGGAGCAGTGTTTAGCTAATCTTGACTACATTCCCTTATCATTAAAAATATAAACGGTGTTTACCCACATTCGTTAATTCGATAAGTTCGAGAGGACTAGCTGTGAATTCCACAAAATGTACGACAAGGCAAAAAATGTAGGAACTTTCAAAGTGAAGTTGATATTTCTCAGTAGATGAAAGTCGTTTTTAAACATAATTCAGTCAACTGCAAACGAAGAAGAAGCTTCGAGCAAGAATTAAAGAAAAATTTCAACAAATTTGTCTACATTTGCTTCTTTTTCCAATAATCATTTTCGATCGGCGATCATCTTTGACAAGAAAAAAACAAGGTGAGGGCTTAAAAATTTTTCAACCTTTGTAATCATAAAAGAATGGGAAGCTAAATTTTTATTAATACATTTTGATCGTACTAAATTTTAGCATTAGCTTTCAATTAAAACGGTGGTTGTTTAAAGTTCTGAATTATTTGTATTTGTTAGTTTTCTATGCAGCAAGTAAAGCTACGCTTGTCTTTGACCTTTCTAACTCTTTCAACAAATATTCGAGTTTTTTTTTCTTTTGCCTATCGATATACAAAATAACCTGGATTAATAACCAAATCGTTTTGATTGTGTTTGTGAACTTTTGGTTTATTGCACGATTGTGTCTAATGGAATTCTGCCGTTATAATGCATCGCTACTATATCATTGTTCGGTCAAATTTTGGCAGTAGTTGGCTCCGTTTAGAATCATAGAATCACAGAATATATGGATAGTTTGTAATTAATTTCTATGAGAATCGAAAGTTATTGACATATTTGTTTGTCGTTTTTGTTTCTTTAGATACAATGCTAAGTTTTCGTCGGTATATGCCTTTCTATCGAACTTTTTCGACATCATTAAGACGTCATTTGTCCGAATCATCATCACCTATACATCATCGCATTATTTACTCAACATCGAACAATATATGGTTTAATTTAGCCACCGAAGAATGGCTATCTAATACGATTAAACCAAATGAACAAATTTTATTTTTGTGGCAAAATGATCGGTATGTTTTATAAGAGATATAATATTTCATTTATGCAAATCTTTTTTCATATCTGAAGTTGTGTGATTATTGGACGAAATCAAAATCCGTGGGTATGTTCTTTTCCTTTTAGAAAATTTACAACATTTTCTTTATTTACTTTATTCTAGAAAGAATGTTTTTTAGAAAGAATGCATAATGATAATGTTTTACTCGCTCGAAGACGTTCAGGTGGAGGTGAGTTATTGAACAGACATATCTCATCTTTCAAACAGTTGAAATTTATTTTTAGGTGCCGTTTATCAAGATCTTGGTAATACGTGTTTTACATTTCTTGTCTCAGCACTAACTCATCAAATAGATAAAAATGCCAATTCAAACATCATTTTAAATGTATTAAAAAATGTTTATTCAATCGATGGAAAAATAATGGGACGTAATGATTTAGTATTAAGTTCGGATGGACGAAAATTTTCTGGTTCAGCTTATCAGTACACTCGGACGTCTGCTTTACATCACGGAACATTACTATTAAATGTTGATTTAAACGCTATGAAACGTTATTTAAATCCGAATAAAGAAAAATTAAAATCAAAAGGAGTGGATTCGATACAGGCCCGTGTTATTAACTTAACCGAAATAAATTCGTCTATTAAACATCAAGACATTTGTACAGCGCTTGAAAATGAATACATCAAATATCATCAAAAGCAATCCTCATCATCATTCATGAAAACCACAGAATATTTATCACCAATTGTTTTAGATAAAATAACAGATTTGAATAATTCTTATAAAATGTACAGTGATGAAAAATGGCGTTATGGCCAAACATTTTCATTCAATCATGAAATAGAAAAACGTTTTCAATGGGGAACCGTGAATATATGTATCAGTTCTGAAAGAAATGGCATTATTGATACTTGTGAAATATATTCAGATTCATTGTTTGTTAATGTTATTGATGAATTGAAAAGAAATATATCGGGTCAAATGTATACAGTTGAAAGTATAAAAACAGCACTTATGAAAGCAAAAGAGAATGTTGAAAGTCAACAAGAAAAAGAGATGATTGATGATATACAAGCATGGATTTTAACACATATTTGAATTTAGAAATCATACGTATCATCTATACGTTTTGAAAAAAATGTTAAAATTTGAACAAAACACTGCTGTTCACTTAGGTATTTGATGTATTATCTTGCTCTATGAAAATAAACGAAATATCTTATTTTTCATCTTTAGAGTGTCTACTGTAATAGTACCGCGCCATTAGTCAAATGTATGAACAATGCCGAAATCAATTACCTGGTATTTCACAGTGGTTTTTGATTTTTCTGTTTATAAACTGTTTTAGAAGCGTGTTTTGTTATGATTTTTGTATCTATATTATGAAATTAGAACTCAATTTCAATGAATGCTCGAATCAAGATAGTTGAACTACTAGGGAAAAAAGAAACAAATACATTACATTCGTCGATTGACAACATAATCTGCGTAAAATACATGATTCCTATGATTATTTAACACAACTATACCCCTTAATTTTGTTTCAAACTGTTTGATTGTTTTCGTAAATGTATTTTTTGGCAAATTAACAATGTAGCTGTCTGTGTTTGTTAATTTTAAAATTACAGATCATTTTCATATTCGCATCGATTAGAACACTTTTATCCACTAGGCGTTGTTGTATAAATACTTTTAAATCAGTTTCACCTTTTTCGTATCCACTGCAAATATTTCTCATAATACCATTATGAATCACCTTTCCGGTGAGCAGTTTCGTAACAGTATCTTTTGATAGATTAAAAACGTTTTCTTCAGTCAACTTTGTTAAGAATAATTTTAAATCGTGATTGTCTGTTTCTAAACGAGTACTTTGACATTCTATATGAGCATCGATACTATTTGTTGTTGTTTCTATGTCAGCTATTTCATTTATGACAGAATATATGATCTGCTTGCAGTTCATTTATTATCATAATAGGAGGCTGAGGATAAAGAGGAACCCTTCAAAAGTTTCTTCAAAAGTTTAGTTTTTCAAGGGACGGTGATTCGTCTGAAATATAGGAGTTTTCCTCAAATACTTCAAAACGTTTTGGCACAGTGAATTTCAGCTTAAAATTTTCAGCTTTCTGCCAACAGTTATCCTTCCCGGCAGATCTTTTTTTCGAGGTTGTAAAATGCTCCTGAAGGCCTTAGCTTCCTTCATTCGGATTCTGTAGAAACAGAAACTATGCAATTGGACTTTACCGAATTAAATTACATAGTTTAATAATAGAACATTCCAAGGCCTGATCGCCTGGCACGCTTGTAAACAGCTTCCTGCTTCTTTGGACGGCGAATGCTTTAGATAAACAATCGTATAAATGAAGTGACAGGATGAACAGATTTTCCAAGCTTCGCATCAGAGATGTAACCGGCCCGGTTCGGTCAGAAATTTTTGACCGATCGGCCGAGAAAAAAAAATTTTTTTTCGTCTGAAAAATCAGTACTTTGTCGAAAACAGATTTGCTGACCTAAGTAAATCTCTACTATGTGAATATTCCGTTCGTTTTTCTTTCTTTTTTGATGCTTTTTGCACTACTATCGATGCCAAAATAGAAGGCCGGTGATTATTTTTTGAATAACTCAAAAGAAATAAAAGATAGAGACTTGCGCTTGCTCATCATTCGCTAACCAAGATGTGAAGCTATGCTTTCATAAGCAAAAAACATTTCAAAGACCCATTTTTCAGGAGATCTGTGGAATACCAGTTCGGTTCTCTGAAAACAGACATAGAAATCTATGGATTTTTTTCATAGATATAGTGTGAAGTGTCCTCGATACAACTGGATCTAAACCACATCTTGGAATTTCATGGTTCGAGAGCTATGGACGTTTTTTCTGAAGCCTTAGCACTCTTCTGCCGTTAGGTTTTTACATTTACACACTCGCGCCAACTCACTTTCTCACACACAGACAAAGACAGAAAAATATTTCCGGGGCGGGGGGGCGGGCGCGCGCGGGGGGGAGGGGGGCGGGGGNCCCCCCCCCTTCTCAGAAATTATCTCCGACAACGCACATCCGATCTTGACGAAAGAGAAAGGCCACTTTTGAGAGATAGTTTATTAGACTCAACAAAAAAATTCCTACGCGTTTTTGGAGCCCGTCTTTGACTACGCATGGGAATTTTTTCTTCCTAAGTGTCTGCTGTCTTATGCTTCTGTGTTGTTTGGATCTGTCTTTTTCTGCAGACATATGTATTCAAACTCGTTTTCTCATGCTATGCACAATATAAGTTCGCTGCGAACTCAAATAAAGTAGTCCTTTCCGTAGAAATTCTGTGAAATAAAAACTAAAATTCAATAAACCTTCATATTTTCAGAACTGATTGGAAGCAAAAACGAAAAAGTGCTCCACTGAGGCGTCAGTAAATCTATCATAATCTGTTTAACGAAGAGATGATTCAATACCTAATGATATGAATTGATTAACACTTGTACAACACATAATTCATCTACTCTCTAAAAAAGTTAATTTTTTTGTTCAAGAAGGAGCACTTAAACGTTTCAGTTTTAATGGAAAAAAACCTAAAAATGGTTTTTTATTGTGGGGTTTCTAAATTTCTCTCAAAATCTTCTTGCGTGCTGCTAGAATAGAAGACTCGGATTGCCGAATGGGACAAATTCCCTGTGTATAGATTTTATAGTATAGTCGTATTTAACAGGAAAATACACCATATTATTAAAAAGAAAAAAAAATTAAAGTATATATAACGTCAAAAAGATAAACAAAGGAATAATAACGTATTTAAACGTTATATTGCTTTTCTATAATAGAAAACTGCAGACAACCTAATAATATATATTTCTTCATTGGTTAAACCTGACTTTGATTTCCATTAACATGATTACCAGGATTACCATATTCGTCAAACAGAGCATCATAACTCTAAAATTTAAAACTGCCATAAACTATTCTGTTTTCTGTTTATTGTTTTTCAAACCTGATAATTATCTTGTTCTGGAAGTTTATAAAAATAACAATTTTGTTGTAAATCAGTAGATCGCTCTTCTAAATCCATACCAGTTATACTGAAGAAAATGAAATGTTGAATCATATTAACATGCCATTGTCTTTCTTGAATAGATTTTATTATTTACCTCAAACGCATATTTCTCTTCATCACATCACAAAAATCACTCTAAAAATATTTGTTCTTATCTAATAACATGAACTTCGATAATGTCAAGTAAAATCTTGGATCAGGGTCTCAGGCAAATTGCCGTCAAAATATTTAGATTATAAAAAGAATACTGTGGCTTAAAAAATCTTACTTTAGTTTGTTTAGCTTCAACATTGGCTTTGACAAAAAATTCCAAAACAGCTATGATTATAGCCAATGCTAAACCACCAATAAGAATGTAAAATATACCAGCAACATTAACAAGATTCAATGCATTGCTTTGTTTTGCTTCCTATAAATAATTGCAAAAATAATGTTATATCTTTATTGATCATAAAAAGAGATTACTTTCGTTGTTCCACTTCCACATTCGGATCTAAAAAGAGTAGAATATTCATTGAATATCAATTATAATCTAATGAGCTACCGTACCTGTCATACCACCATTGTTTTTTCAATGTATTTAATGTTCCATCTTCACTCATTTCTAATACGGCTATATTGATTGCTTCACTAAAAATCAAAACTAACCGATGCATAGAACAACACATTGCTTGTTGTATAGTATACCGAAGTTCTGATCCGACTGGTGTTGCAATACCATAACCTTTTGAATCTAGATTACTGCCAATTTTCATTGTATCACACGGATGACGTTCATTCGTATACTCATTCTTAATCGACTAATTGAAAGAGAAAATGGTTACAATAAAATGAGATTACAAACGTGTATTGAAACACTTACTTCGAGTAAAAAAGCATATTTTCCTCTTGATTTCCTAGAAAAATATCGTTTAACTATCGCTTAGATCAACGTTAATTTAACTTTTGTCAATTATTACCGAACTTTGTTTATTCCTTCATTATTACTATTCACCATCACATCGTCACCTTGTTGCATAAACGTGTACATTCGTTGAAATATTTTCACATCCGATTTCTAATAGATGAAGTATGACATGATCATTCAGTAGCTAATGTGGTATTATGATACTAACTTCAAAAAATGTTTGCGTTGAACCTCCTTAAAAAAAAGTAGTCGGTATACTTTTGAAGAAAAATCGTTAATCGGTATTCGTCAGCTTTACCTCGCACCACTCCATACTTGATATCCGTTTGTCGTGCTAGATCTTCCACGCTTTCAATGGGTGTAACCATTCGTTCGACGGTAAGAAATGCAGCTAAACGAGATAGAAGTCTGAAAAACTTGCCCTCAAATCGCCATCGATAGATCTCATAATACCTAAGTTAGCTGTATATGATGAAACTAAGATCATTGAAAAATACCACCATACACTGGCCACTAATCTGCCTGATATTGATCTGAAAACATGCTAAGTACAGTGGAAGAACAACTTGCTATTAGAGATTATCCACCTTGGTATGAAATCGACTCCTTGCTGCATGAATGCTGCTAATGCAAAAAATAATGTATTTAATATGGAAAACTTGTTTGATAATTGTGGTGTTGCTGTGTCAGCCGTATCATCTTCAATGTTCCATTCGTACGGCGAAAATCGACTAACAAGAAACAGAATAACACTTACACCAATGTAAGCGAATGTCACACACATCCAAATTCCGTTTGATAATGGTGCCATAAATGAGAACACACCTTTGAAAAAGTAAATTTTACATGAGCATGAACGAAACAAGTACGTAAAAATAAGAGCTAACTTTACCCGGTTTCTCTTTTTCGGGTCTTTTAATCAAAATACTGATTCCCAAATTCATAAATGGTTTTGAAAAATCGACAACACTCTCCCGTTGACTAGTGATGGTTAACGGAGCTATGGCGAGATCAGCTTCCTAAAGCAAACGAATCGTATTAGATGATAATAATAGATGTGTCATTTCTCGTTTACATGACGAACTAGTTCTCCAATCATTCCATTCCACGGACCATCTGCCGGTTTGTTTCCAAATAGATCATCTTTGACAATACGAAATTTACAACGAATTTCTAACTTTTTTTCACATATCAAACCTAAAATAGTGCATATCTTCGAACTATGCTGATTTTCTCTCTTTAGTTTATTACGTACGAGCCAAATCGACACAATAACCGTATAAATGATCAAATGGTAGAAATTGTCCAGCAGCTGTTGATGGAGTCAGATTACCAGCAGCTGTTGTATTTATCATTATGAATGGCTCATCCTGAACAAAACTGTATATTATTACAAGTCTTATTCTAAAATTAAAACACGTACCAAAATTGTTGTTATAATTCTCTCTCGCCCTTTATCAAAATCATGTGTTTGTCTACCTTGAAATACTTCAACATCATCCATCACAAATAAATCGTTTGTAAAGTTTCCAACCTGAGAATATTAAACTGCAAAGTTATACACACAACTGTAATTGTGACAAGTAAATTACATTTCTTGGTAATTTATTCATTGTGATTTGATGTACATCGAGTGTATAATTAACTCTCTCACCATATTCATTAAATTCGACGTGACCAGAAAAGCCTTCAAATACGACCTAACCGATAACATGTCTTACAGATGTTTTGTGAAATGAGAGGTTTTTAAGTGTATATACTAACAGATTTCATAACATCAAATAGTAATTCTCCAACTTTATGTTTTTCAATTGGTTTTTGAGCTGTACGACATCGAATCTTGAGATAATCAGAATTATTATCGAACGAGAATGTTATATTTTTTTCATTGAGTAATATCAACGCTCGCATATATAATTGAACACTATCAGCTAATGCTTTCTTCTCAAACTAAATTGAATGACTAGATATATTAGATTTATCAGATGACATGGAAAACTTACGGAAGGTAATGATAAACGATCGGTTGCATTGTCGTTGATTGAATTTTTTAGTAGTGACGCCGGATGCATAGATCTTGGCAGAAAATACGTGACATTCACTCCACCATATCGAAAAAATCGCATATCTATTCTGTTCGCTTCCTTTACGAGATAGATACATATTTATATAGTAATCAAATTCTAAAATATGTCTCACCTACCATACTCATGAGAATGTAATGATAATGTGGCGTTGTCATTCCATAATGTCGAATCTTAACGAAGAATAAAATGAAACATAATTTAAAAGTAACTCTAAAATTACAATACCTGAATAAGTACATTTATATAACTATCAACTGAATCCAAATCCAAGACGATATAACGTTCTTCTTTTGTACCTCGATCTTTAATTTCTACACTTTGTAACAGATTTCTTGTATGATTTTGATTTGTGACATCAGTCAAACGTCGTACTTGAATATCTAAAATATCATAACTTTTTTCACGGGCTTGAGCAGCCATCATTGTTTGAAAACGACCAAATGCTAAATAAATCAAAAACTATTTATTACTGTCATTTTCTAAATATTAATAGGAGTTTTGTACCTTCTTCTCCTTCAACCACATAAAATAATTTATTCACTTTATAACGTTTGATGAATGCAGCTAACGCTTGTAATAGATCAATTTTCATTGAAAAATGAAACCTTTTGAGACCATCAAATTGTCTATTATACTCGAAATAATTCAGTGATACCATTGGTACTTGTAAACGATTCATAAATGCTTCGAATAGATGAGTTTTTGGAGTATTTAAACTTGATATTGATCCAATAACACCATTTTCCAAACGAGAACAAACTAAAATATGCTTACAAGTTAAACCAACCATACAGTAAAATCTCCGTAATGTGGGTTTAGACTTAATAAAAGTAGTCATAATACAGAGATGGTCGCTCTAAAGTGGTACCCACATACAGGGTTTTTTAATTTATTAATTCAAATTTACTTCGGTGAAATCCAGTATAAATATTGTCATCCTATAAATATCAACAGCTACAATCTTCTATTTTAATTAATAATAAGAATTAATTTACATACACTGACATTTTCGAATACTGTTTGAATTTGATAATCTTTTGACCATTTGAAATTGTTATACGCAGTAATATTAAGAACAGCTGCTATTGATTGTGAAAATGTATCACCAGTATCAGAAGCTGTGGAATAATCAACAAACCATCCTAGAAAAATACATTCTGCACTAATAAACGAAAAAACCAAAATAAAAACATTCTTTTTTTTAGTTCAAATTTAGTTAGTCATAACGATATTTATTGTTTTTTTTTTAGTATGTGATTCTGTGTACAGTCTTTACGTAAAACTAATTCTAAGGAATTTTGGCTATTAGATTCTACGTCAAGAAAGTTTAAGATTGTGATAAGAATTATTAATCAAATGGTGGCTTCTTGTTTATAAACATTGAAATTTAGTTTTAAACAATCAAATTGATAACAAAAATATATTTGAAACTTTTTTTCCAAACTAGATATTCAAAATAAAATACACTTTATACTGAATTTAATTACGAATAATATCATAGTTAGAAATAATAATTACATCATTATTTATGTTCTAATATCAATATGTCAAGTGTTTTTTTTTTCAACTGTATATCTATCATCTTACCAAGAGGAACGTTTATCCGAGCTGAAGTGTGAATAAAAAGATTCTGAATGAGTTTAATGACAAAAGCCAATTGTATAATATTTGTCATTTTTATTTTTTTATTTCATACAATTATGGTAAATTTCTTAGAAGTGTTCGTGTGTGTATATGTGTGTGTGTGTGTGTGTATGAGTATAATGGATAACGTCATTTCAATGATAGAACTCGATTTTGTGATTATCTTTTTAAAAGAATTATTGAAAATACTTGAGGAAAACATGAAAAGTAACAACGATTAAGTCATACAATGTCAAGCATTATCCATCTTTGTCTCTTTTTCTCACATTTATTCTATCAATATTGAAATCTCTCTCACTCTCACTCTCTTCTCAAAATTGTCTCATTTTCTACGCACTAACAATTTTTAAACACAGAAAAAGACATTTTTATTGTATTAGAAAATATCGATATGCATATTAAACAACAAATATAAAGTAAATAATTTCTTCTTAGCGAGAAAATATTTTTTCTTCTCTTTCCGATCCTTGTTCTTCGTTTTGTGTTACGTTGTATGTTTTCTTTATCGAAGATTATGATTCTATTATCGAGAGATTTAATAAAAAATAAAGAATAATAGTATAAGGCATCAAGCCAGAAAAAATAGAATAAACCATCAGTCATTCAACATACAAGTGTCTATAGATAAGTGAGATGTATGTACTGAGATGAAAAAATTCCATCTCAATATATAAATATATATATATATATATTTCTAAATTGATTCAAATAATAAGATAAGTTCACACACACACACATAAGACACACACATAATGGAGTTTTCATTTTAGAATCCAAATACTGTTCTAATATATAAATGTTCTACTAAGTGAATCGGAACAAATCATATTGAAGAAAATTTATCACACAGATTGACGATGCATTTTTTTTAAACGTAAACCTGAAACACGCGATATTTTCTACAATGTTAGCAAAAAAAAATTTGTTACTTCGATGAATTTTCTGAAAAACTAGCATGACACTAAAACTATCTTTACCGTTGTTTACCTATGAGAATCAAAAATGAATGCAATTATTTTATAAATCAATTACGAGATTAAAATTTTTATAATAGAAACAAATTTACTATATATTTCTTTGTTTGCTAGCATATTCTTTTCTTCTTCTTTGAGAATGAACGGAGAAGTGAATCTTTTTCTCAGAAATTAATCTAGTTTTATTAACAAAAAATAACCTCAGCAGTCATAAAAAGTTTGTTGAACTTATTTTTAAGATAGGGCCCTTTTTTTTTATTTGACTGTTAAGAATGTGTACGCTATTATGTACTAGTAATATTCAAGAAAAGTTACCTAGTCGTTCAAACAGAAGAATTTTAGCCCGTTTGTATTCTCGCAACCAACACTGTTCCATTGTTCATAAGGGGGAGAAAAAGCGCTTGTTACAGTTGAATAATTTAGGAACAAGAGAGAATTTCTAGGTCTTGTTATGCTCAAAATGTGCTCAAGCTTAGTTGCAGTCTTGTTTGTTGTCGTTACTCTTTGTAATATTCTTCTCCATTGCGTTGAGTCGTTTACAAAAAAGCTATTGTTCGTTGCTATATACGATCGTCTCGAGATGATTCAACAAATTTGATTTATCTAAAATATAATAATATCAGATATCGCACGCAAATCAGGAAGAATAACATTCCGTATCTAATTTAGTTTCATTTTTAATAAATCAACTAAACTGTTTTCGATATTATTTAGAATTATCGTCTTTCAATATGTTCATATAATACAAAACATAAAAGTCAAATATATGACGATGATCAATATAAACTTTGAATTGAAATGATTGCCTAGAAATCAACGTTCACAAAAATACATCAGATTCACGCCTAAAATGAAGGAAAACGTATTTGCACGTCTATTGGACACGCTAAGTAAAAACCTTTAGAAAAGCAATATTTAACAATTTTATCATATGGACGGAACAACATACAAGAGTTAATGACGACCTATTTGGAGCGAATCGATAACTATTTCCTATTTATAGTGTCTGTGCGCTACCTAGGCTTGATGTTAAGATGAGGTTCAATATGATATTCACAGCAGAGTAGTAAATAAGCCAAGATCAGAGCAAAGCTCTGGCATAAATACCACGACTACACTGTGAAAAAACAAGTGCTCCTCGGACGATGTATTGCTGAAAATACCCCCACAATAGGGCACTTTTCTTGATGAGACACATTTGTATCCTTGAAAGTGTCCGGAGGAGGACACTCAAAGTGCTCCGTCCACCGTCCATCAAAGCGTCTTTTTTAGCTGGCGGAGCACTTGTTTTTTGAGAAACTGCTATTAAAACTGGTTGTAACTGACTGCACTAGAAAAAAAAGGGTGCCGGTTGCACACTTAAGTTGCACACCATTTTAGATGAGGTAGCACACTTCTCGCACACTTCTTTTTTTTGAGTGTGCTCTTTTTAAAAATTTATTAAAGTCAGTTAAAGTGCTACAGGGCCGAATTTGGTCATCTCGGTTCATCAGACATATAAACATCAAGTTCAATTCAGAATAGATAGAAAAGACCATGAACTCATTATATGCAGGTAATCAAGAACAATAATAGAAAAATTAAAACATAATAATACAAACCTAAAGCGAGAGACTATCACAGATAATTCTACAACTGAGGAATTTACGTACAAGTAAAATTTGTGTCCAATGCGTAGAGTGACTGCTCTCAGAATCTATATCACTTTCTTCCTGAAAGTGATCTTTTTCATGATTCTAGAGTCAGTTTTCTATCATTCTTGGAAAACAAGACCTTCAAATGCCATTTTTTTCTTGGTACCCATGCAACCAAATTTTCTGACAACCTGTATTTGTGAAGCAAATTTTTCTGATCAAAACGAGATAGAACAGTTGAACGAAGATTTATGGTAATACGAATAGCTCGATTCTGATCCTTTATTATGACGATATTTACGAACGGAAATTGATAGAATAAAATAAAATTTCATCACTGTAATTTACTTTGACATGATCAATGTTTCATGAGAGTTTGATCGAGATTAGACTATTACTGGAATAGGCTTTTGATCGAAAGGGTCTCAATAATTCTTGAAATCAGTGCAGAATTAGAAGATGGGAAAGAAGTACAGTAAAACAAAAAACATACTTCAGCACCGAAATAGTCATTATTTTTCTACTTGATAATGTTTTACAGAAAAATTAAAATGTCTTTTGATGGCTCTCTAGTTTTAGGTTACTGTAAGTTAGTTTGCTACTGATAATAAAAGAAATTCGTACATCAGCTGGTTTTGGGCCAAAAAATCGATCATTCGAACGATTTTGCAATGATGTTTCATTTTTCAACACTGAACGATATGAAGCATATATACTGAATGGGAACGATAAAATTAGAAAATTGTAAATTCAATTCTTCCTTTACTGTATTGTGCGCTATTATGAACTACAGAGATACTGATAACTAAACAATTTCTTAATATGTTCATAATAATCAGACATTCGGATAAAAAGAAGACAAAAATCGAGTGATGATCTTCCCTTGTTCTCAGATGTAATTTGAACCTAGAAATACTTTAGGTTGAAAAGTATCTACCAAACGGACGTTTTTGTTCAGATCGCTCAAAGAAAAGAAATTGATGGCAATTCAAATCTTTGAGAGTTAATGGCATATAAATTAAGCACAAGTTATTATTTGACTATATAGCATACGACATTCGCGCACAGATATTTCTGATTATGGTGACGAAGGTAAATACTATGAATTTATGTATGCCTAATCATTTAATTGTATTAAATTTGCTAATAGAGCTCTAGCTTGTGATACTTTTTCTTCTATATGTCGCTTACAGAACCTCGCAAGAGAAATATATTGGCATGTGCGAGAGAGAAATATAACACTATGTCATTTTTCAATACATATCGGATACAGAATTATTGTCGACTTTCAATTATGTTCAACAAAGTTAAAGGTGTTACAGGCGCATATTTTATAAAATTTCTACTTTTTATCATTAATTATAACTGAAAATAACAAATGGATATCCCAATTTTCATCTGCAGTTAAAATCTAGTTACTTGCGTATACCAGTAAGTATTATTAAGTATTCTGTTTGATACTACAGATGTTTGATAGTCAAATTTTGTTATCGATGCTCAAGTATGGCAAATTCAATTTCGTTGTTGAGAATAGATTACATCGGATATAATAACAATAATTAAAGGTGAAGATTCTATTGTAAAACTACAGTAAAGTTCAATATCAAATTGAGACATAAATGTCATGTCATCTTCATCGTGTTTACGTAGTCAATATTGGCCGAAGTAGAAAAGCTAGTAACAATAAAGACTGATGAAGAAGAATGAGAAAATATAGTGGAGTTTCATTTCTTCAAGAGAAAAAAAAATTGGGAAAAGCAAAATGATTATCATTCGTTACTAACAACTAAGAAATAATGTGCAAAGCTTGTTACATCGTATTCATCACTTCTTTAGCTTTGTGTAGTCATTTAGAAAAAGACTTATCAGTTAGTGGACAACTTCGAAGATCTACCGTTTCTCAAGTTGTCGATTTTTGTGCTAAAGATCGTGTAAGTTGTTCTAAGTAGTCTAAATTCGATTCTAAATGACTTGTTAACATTTCAACTTTTTCAATACGAGCACTTAAACTTTGTTGTCGCTTTTCTTCATTAGACAGAAAACCGGCCAATTTTGTTGTGCCCAATGCAAGATCAATTCGTCGTTGAACATCGTTTAACATTATAGATAGACGATGATTTATTTGAGTATGTTCGTGTACAACATCTTTGATATCAATCGGTCGTTTTGCTTGTTGAAATTTTCTACAAGCAGATGAATATTTTAGTAGACGAATTATTTTAATTGCTGCTACATAACGTGTAGGTAAATCATGAACAGATGTAATCGATTTATGTCGAATAGACGATTGGTAAAACGGATTTTCTTGTCGTTTTGACATGGGTGGTGCAGATCCCGGTTCAGTGATGTAACGTCGGTTCGATTTTGATTGACGTTGTAGTTGTTGGTGTTCAACATTAGCGGGCATCAAATCATTCACACGTCGTCGAATAAGTTTGAACACTTTCCAAGTTGATGAATATTTATCTTCGTGAAACGTACATTTGTAGCGCCACCAATTGCGAATAACTGAGGCAGCTGCCGGAACAAGACGACTAAGAGCTTCATCACGTTTTTTCTCTTGAACTTTAATGGCAAGTCCCTATTAAATAAAAAAACACAATTTGGAAAGATGAGAAATACTTCTTTGGTCATGTTTTACATATAGATGAAAGTGGATCTATTTAGAAGTCTATTTTTCTCTTTAAAAACACTCGTTTTCTAATGAATACTAAATCAGCTTACACTTCCGATAATGCCTGCAGGTAAACACCAGAAAGCAACGCCTAAAAAACAAATTGTTGTTGTAACCATCTTAGCCAGAAACGTGCTTGGATACATATCACCGAATCCGATCGTTGTCATCTATAAAAAATATTTTATTATCGTATGTGATTTTTTTATAGATTTGAATACTAACTTACAGTGATAAGAGCCCACCAAATTGCGTCAGCAATTGAACGAAACGATCCATTATAATTTTCTATCTGGATAGGTGTTTCAATCAAATACACAAGATAAGCACCAACAATAAGAAACATTAAGGCTATTACCATTGTTACCTAAAATAATTAATGTTATTCTAATTGGATAAAAACTGTAGATGCTTCTAGGTAGATACTCGCCGTTAACTCTTGTTGATGTTGCATAATTATTTCTTTTAATATTTTCCATGAAAATAATTGTCTATCAACTCTAAAAAATCTTATCATTTGAAGTAACGGCAATAATTTTAAAGTAATTGGTGGAAAAACAGCATATTTTGATCCGCTAAATATTGCAATTCCAAAACCGATTAGTGTTAAAATATCGAGTACCACCATCGGTCGTTTAAGAAACATTAAACGCCCAGTAAATGATCGATATTGGGTAACACAACCGGCCGACCATACACGAATAACAAATTCACAAAAAAAGAATAAATAAAATACGAGTTCAGTCCAATAGAGTGGTTCATTAATTTTACTAACAAGTTCATTGATTGTTGATAATGAACCGAGTACTAGTGATGTTAACGATATAAGAAAAACAATAAAATGATAAGCAAATGATAAATGACCTTCTTGACGCTCTAATAAATGATAAAAATCACTTCTACGAATAATTCCACGTGACTTCTCGTATTCACTTTCAAAAAATGTTGTAAAAACAGAATCTTCACGATTCCTCACATGAGAATACGATGTTGCACTCCTTCGACGATTCATAATGAAATTGTGTTCGTATTTTGATCAGCTCTGTATGATTTAACTTAAGTATAATCCATCTAAAATAAACTACAAAAGACGTATTAGAGATTTATTAGACTTTTAATTATTCGTGTCATCTCGAAGAGAGATGATCTTTATGATCATTGAATATCGATTAAATGAATTAGTATTTTTTATAAAGTGAGAAAAAAAAGTGTTATGATGAAGTGTTGTAGTTTTTTCTTTAGTAATAATAAAACATGCTTTTTGGCATCATATCATGATTTCGACTTCAGATAAGATTTCTTCAAAACTGTTGCATCTTTTTCTTTTAAATTATTTGATCTCTATAAGATAAATATTGAGTACGAACATCACATCCCTTAATTAGAAGTGGACTTCACCTGACACCTTGTTTAGACGAATACAGTCAGAGTACTGGAATAAAACATTTTCTTTTAACATCTATTATTGTAGCATTAATCTGTTTCAAGACAAAAAGACGCTTGTTAATGTATTTATTACACATATACATACAACTCGTTTGTTACCTTTATGGCATATTTTATTTAGTTTTCTTAATTCAAAATGATGTACTCTTTTTTTTCTTGTAAGATATACATAGTTGAGAAAAAATTAATACGATTTTTATGGTAATCATACGCATATTTCTCGAGAAAAAACGAAAATAAAAAGTCTAGACTGATATTCTCTGGCGAAAGTTACACTTTTTAAATTCTGTCCTCTGTTAGCCATTGAAGAAAAGAAGACTGCTAACACCTATTCTCATGTGAACGTACAAAAAATGAATATTAAAAGTTTTACACATGTCTCTATTTTATTAGACATAATAAACTATAAAACATATTTCAAAGTGCAAATAACTGATAGATCTTGAACTGTTTTCGTGTTTTTCATCATATGAACTTGTTTACATTTTTATTCTTAAAAATATTCAGATGTGCAAAGATTTTCAAAAGTAATTCTTTCTCCATTGTCCTTTTGCCATAAATAAAGTCTACCATAACACTAGAACTATATAGATCAAGGTATAATACGTTTTATAATGTCAAAAATCAAAAATAACGGAGAAGTCTATACAAGAGTGAAGAAAAAAAGCGTAGAATAAAGAACAAAAAAATTAGTGAAAAAAGTGAAAGTGAAAAAAAAATATAACAAATTTTGTTGTTGATAAATAACTATACCTTTATTAATACAAATTCCTACTCATTTTGATTAAGAAACACCTTACGAACAGATGTCATAAATGGAAACGATAGTTTTGTGAGTTTAACGGATATATTTTCTATATCTAGAAATGATAGTATTGAAAAAAATTATGGGATGAGTCAAGAGCTTGGCAAATTTAATCAAAATATAAAAAAACAAGAAATAGAGAACAAGAAAAATCTTTTTTGTATTGAAATTAATACCGTTTTGTTTGTATGTTATTCTTCCTTTGATAGAACAAGAATACTGAGGATTACCCTCGATCGTAATAACTTCTAAGAACAACTACCGATTTTGGTCAAAGGAGGCAGAAAGATAAAAATTTCCTCCTTCTTGTTTAAAAACGTTCTAAGTAATTTTTTCGATAGTAAATTCATTTTAATCGCATTTTTTTCTCAGCAAATTTTATACAGTTATTCCAAAAACTTTTCTTCTTTGCTGAAAATTGGGTCCAAAACATCAAGAATAGCTGCTCAAAAGACCGCAAAATCAGTCCTTTTTCCTATTTAAGTTCTATCAGTGATAAGGTTCAAATCTTAAAATCCTTTATTCTGTTATTCAATGCATTTACGAATACTGTACGCTAAAAAATTTCGTACTCGAACATGCTAAAAATTCTCAGAACTAATTCGTAGATCCTAATACTGTAAAAAGTTATTTTTTAAACCATACGATTTTCACAGTGAATCCGGCTCCTATCAACCCTAACCACATAGTTCTAAAAACTCGATCACGAAGAACATGAAGAACACAAGTCGATCTTACAAAAACATATGATTAATATAGTTAAAATAAGTCACAGATAAATCATTTAAAAATCAAGAAATGATGTCGACTGTGAAACCTTGTTCTTGACTGTCGCTTCTAACGTTCTAACCCTAGTACTTGAACATAGATGCCAAAGCTAGGTACCCTGCTACAAAAATGTCATAGGTGCTTGCAAGTGAAATATCACTTAACGGGTATTTAAACGGTCAGTCATTTAGATGATCGTGTGAAGATAAAAACGTACGTCATTCTTGTAAACATATGTTTTTCTTTTATATATGTCTGAACTCAAAACAAAACGGTGAACGGAAAAAAATCTGGCATCTATGCTGCGTCAAGTGCAAGTAATTGGATACCTTTCAAGTAATATTTACTTGAAAAAAATTTAAGCATCTATGACATCCATGTAGCAGGGTATCCGCAAAGGTATCTAAGAAAAATACAAGTACTCGGGTACCTATCGTCAAGTACATTCACTAAGGAACGGAACGCATCTCAACTCCCAACAACTCACAGTGCATAAATTACTGTCACAAGCTATGTAAGATATTTTTGTCTCAAAACATTTTCTTTCTGATTAGATAGACGACCCTAGAGGATGTCCAGTTTGTCTGGTCAGATACTTGTAAGTAAAAACGTCCGTGCCTGTTTTCCTAGTTAGAACCTGTTTTTCTCCTAGTCAGTGGAAGAAATCAAAATCACGAGCTTATTGTATATATGTAGAAATTAGGTGTGCGGTTCGCTAATCATACTGCGCAAAAATCAGTAGAAACCCAGAAAGTTTTCTGGGGACTCCCCGGAGACATTCCATAACCATCAGACTTGGAATGTCGTTACATATGTCTTGTTCAGCATAGAAATCTCTAAGACATTACTCATCATCTATGAGAATAGCTTTGAAATTTTTCGAAAAATTAGTGGTCACTATATACTACATGGCTTAGCAAAACAAAACGGTGATTATGGAAAAAACCTAGCTCTGGTCCTGAACCTGACCCGTGTCTGTTTCTCAGAAAATAACAAGATCAAGCAAACAGTCAAGGCTAGACCAAGATTTACTGTTTGTCTGATAAGAGGAACAAACAGGCTATCCTGATCTGTCACTTCTTGATCTATCACTTTCTTGTTCTGACCTTGAAGCTGGCCGGAGCAAGAAAAAAGAACAGAAAACAGACATCTGTAAGTAAATAAGTCTTCACTCTGTTTTCAAGACCAGACAAACTGGACATTCTCTAGGGTGACATTATTACAAAACTGGTTAATGTTACTGTAACTGATAAAGCGTCAAATATCTTCACCGATTTTCTGTTCTATGTTCAGAGTCAAGAAGAGCAGTAGTGGTACCTATATAAGACGTCGCTAAGTGACATCGCTCGAAAGAAGCTACTAATGCACTTTACTGAAATGTAGTTTAAAGGACGTAGGTTAGAAACAAGAAGTTAAGTGACCTAAATGGTGTTAAATTACTCGAAAAAAGGCTAGAGATATTCGACGTTAAAATTGTTTTCATATTGAAGTATTTATCAAAATTCTGAGCACATGCACAGTAGACCCAACGGCCATTTAGTTAAACATAGGTGTGAAGACCAAATCTTGTGTATCATCCTTAGCTTCTATCTTTATCAACAATGCTGGGACGAATCTTCTTACTTTTCGCTGATATCTATATCTAGAAATGAATGAGAAAGTGCAGAGTTAGCATTGCTAGAAGAGGAAATGCGTGTAAATATACAAAAGAAATACTCTTTTATCATACATGAATCGTCGTTCTACCCTTTGAGATTTTGTTGACAGCTGTTTGATCTGATTTTCTATTTGTCTCGTTTAGGAGTCAAAACTTTTCGAAATCAGTATCTGAGTGTATGACGCTTTTACTTTTCCCTTTTTCTTTAGACTGGCATTAAGGAGTTTGTCGAATTCAGTTCTGATTTATGCTAATTAACGATCAATTTTATTTATAAACGATACTTTTTATTTATTTTAATTTCATTTCATAAAAATTTGCGTTGAAGACACAAAACTTCATTATTTAAAAATAGTTCACATCATGTCGGACGGTGTGGATAGTCATATATTAAGACATTATGAAATTCAAAAGCGTTTAGGCAAAGGAGTAAGAATGAAAGACAGAAATTTGTAGACTTTTAATATTTTACCGATGTTTTTAGGCATATGGTATCGTTTGGAAAGCAACCGATAAAAGATCAAAAGAAGTTGTGGCATTGAAAAAGATATTCGATGCATTTCGAAATCAAACAGATGCTCAAGTTAGTATTGTGGGAAGGGAGCATGTTTATTTCACTTTTCAGTTTTATTTTTATTTTACTAGAGAACGTATCGTGAAATCGTATTTTTACGTGAATTTGGCGAACATCCGAATATTATTCGTTTACAGAATGTTCTTCGCGCTGATAATGATCGTGATATTTATCTTGTTTTTGAATTTATGGGTAAGTACATCATAGATCAATATCTTTATTCCACATTTAATTATAGAATAATAATCATCTTCTTTTATCAATGCAATAGAGGCTGATTTACACAATGTCATTCGTAAAGGAAGTATTTTAAAAGATACACATAAGCGTTATGTTATGTATCAACTACTGAAAGCAATGAAATATCTACATTCTGCAAATGTTATTCATCGCGACATGAAGGTATATTTGAGAATTTGTTGTCAATCATTGAAATTTATTTTAGTATCATTTTTAAGCCATCTAATGTTCTTATTAATCAACAATGTAGAGTAAAATTATGCGACTTTGGGCTAGCAAGATCGCTTAATTACGTATACGAAGATGTTCAACACCCAGCGTTAACAGAATATGTTGGTAAATATAACAATCGAGGATGTTTCTTAGAAGAATTTGAAGAGTTCATTTTCAATATACTTTTTATTTTTCTAGCAACAAGGTGGTACCGAGCGCCTGAAATTCTTCTTGCCTCATCCAAGTGAGTTCAGTTATCCAATACTCTCAATTGATATAATATTGAATGTTTACTTTATCTTTAGATATACCAAAGGTAAAATTAAGTCTAATATGTAAATTGCTATATCATTAATTCAAAACGTTGTTTATAATAGGCGTCGATATGTGGTCTCTTGGTTGTATTCTGGGAGAAATGCTACTTGGAAAACCGTTATTTCAGGGGACATCTACGTTCAATCAGTTAGAAAAAATATTACAGCATATCCCTTCACCAAGTCAATCGGGTATGCTAAAGTATAATTTATGTAGATTCTGTTTGTCATCTGTTACGTTCTTTTAGACATAGCTAGTATATCATCACAGTATGGCCCTTCAGTTCTCGAAAGAGCAGCATCAGGGTAAACTAAAACATCAAATATGTAGTTTCTTGCACTAAAAAATTATCTGTTTTAGACCAAAAAAATCTTTCGACAACTTAATACCGAGTGCCAATGAAGATGCCCATGATTTACTTAAAAAACTTTTACATTTCAATCCAGACAAACGTATAACAGCCGATGAAGGTTTACGTCACAACTATGTATTATCGTACGTAAACATTGATGTATCACAAATAATTTTAAAAACAAAATATTTGTCTTTAGCTTTCACAATCCAAACGACGAAATAACAAAAGGTTACGATGTTGTACCACAATTAAGTGATGATATTCAATTAACTGTAGAAGAATATCGAAAAAAATTATATGAAGTAAATTCATTTCATACTTTAAAGAAATTATTTAGTTAAATATAACTTTTATTTCAGTTAATTCAATTACGAAAAGTATCAGCTAAAACGGGAGGTGTTGTATCAAATTATAGTTCAAATTCGGATGTCGGGGCTGCTAATAGTAGTACCAACGTTATTCAACCAACTCGTTCCACTTATAGTGCATCAGAACATAATAATAATAATGAAACTACCACACAACAGGCACAGCATCATGGAAAAAGTGCTTATATCGATCAGTCCGAGTATGATTCATATAAACAACATATTTCCAATACACAGACAAAGCCTATGGGCAATAATAATCATAACAATAACTACAGTAACGAATCAACATCTATTATAAACGGGCGAACGTACTCTAATAACAACAACGATGTACCCAAAAACAGACAACAAAAATATACAAATGATATAGATGAAGATTATATAGAAAATACAGGACAATATTCCAAAGCTCCACCCTATCCATGTATGTTGTATCCATTCTGAAACTACAAAAATTTCATCATGAATCTGTTTTCTCTATAGCACTTTTGGGTCGTTCACACAGTTACAACGGGATGAGTTCAAATCCCGGACAACCAAGAGTTCTAAGTGCAAAACAGCGAATAACATCCAATTCAAATATACCATACCAAGTAATTTAAATTAGAAATCTTTGAGGTTGCCTTACGAAATTTACTTCTTTTGAGAGAAAAGATGAATATAAAATAGGCAGTTATGTGTATTGTTTTACATCTTCGGTGTGTGATTACAGTTTAACTGTTTTGTTTGTAGAAATCGAACGGTCCACTTATCCGTGAAAAATCAGCTAATCGTGGATCTCGTTCTGGTTCAGCACCCACGCCCACGCCGCCACCAAAAAATTCTAGCTATTATTCGAAACGACCAACCGTTATATTTGGTGATTCCGAGAAAAATGGTTCACAAGCAAAATCGAATAATAAATTTGTAAGGAACTATTGTCTTGTGTGAGATCATGGCGATAAAATAATTTGACAAAAAAGAATAATGAATTATAGTAACAAACATTTACATCTATGAACTTTTCCTATTCTAGATCGCTAATCTTCGACCAAACTCAGCCGATACAAGAGCTAAAACTCGTTTTAATTCGCTGTTAACAAACGTAACATCGAATGGAGGTGGTGGTTATCTACAAAATTCATCATCTTCCTTCGGATTGTATTCAAATCAAACTGCAGCAAGACGAGCTCACATGAACTATAGTAATATGACATCGTCAATGGCTGCTAGAGATAATCTTGGTGGCTATAGTCAGGCGAACGGAACACTTTCTCAAAATGGATTACGAGTTCTTGACAGCTTACTTCATTATACATCATAACATACTTCTCTGCTGCGAGCTTTCTCTAACTATGTATAATAATATTCGTACATCAAACATTAAATGTTTGCCTGTCATATTTCTCTAAAGACATAACAACTTTCTTTGTTTTTCTTTGTTGCTCGTATTGGGGGTTACATTCTCTCTGAATTTTGTATTGTTTTTTTAAATAACTTCCTTCCTGCAGCGTTTACTAAAATGGAACATTGAAATAATGAACTGTCTATAGATTTCAACTTTCATGCAAGTACAACGAGCTTTTGTTTCAATTTCAATATTCTTTTTGTAATTGACTACCGTGACATTTATGTTCGTAATTATTGAGTCTTCATTTTGTCCATTTTTTTAATTCTTTTTCCTTCTTGTTTAAAATCTTCGTGAAGCTATAAACTGAAGTATATCATATTTATTTGTTCAACAATCTATTCTGCTTTTTCTTCTTCTTTACATATAGATTGGGTAATGAACGTTTTTTTCTCAGTGCATTTGTTTTATGATAGAAAAGAGATCTTTCATTGTTTTTATCATGTGCATACTATTTGTATAAAAAACCGCTTTCTTGTCTGTGTTATAAAAATAATGTGAAAATGAATAAAAGTTTTGCAAGTACTATAATCAAAAGTAAACTACGAATGATTATTTTTCGACCTACGCAGTTTCTTTTCAGACAGATCTGTAATTCACGATTTTCTTTATTTAAAACTTTTCCTTGGCTTTATTGTGTTGACTCATTTGACTTTCTTCTATGCGTAGTGTACAATGAGCCTCGATATTTCTCACCCTCCTTCGTCTTTCATATCTTTTTCATCAAATGTTGCTCATTGATGACTAAGCTCATATTTTGCAAGCGAAAGCTAAGATAGTGCAAACTGAGTCGTTTTCCAGCCACGCAACACGATTTTTTGATCAGGTAGACAAATGTCAAAAACAAAATGTCGACAAGTAAAAATGTCGACAGGTAAATTGTCGACAGTAGATAATTGTTGTACAGTAGTAAATTGTTACCTGTAGAAAGCAATTCCCGTGAATCGCTTTCTCTCAGAATGACTTCTAGACATTTAGAAGGGTGCCTAAACATTCTAGCACTGAGATTCCATGTACCATCGATACAGCGATATTACCGCGAATACAAAAAATGATATTACCGCGAACAATTGTTTGTTGGAAAAGACCAATAAATGAGGTCGCTTTTCTGTTTTGTACCTCATGTTTTCAAACTTAACTGAAGTTAAGTGGTGACTAGTCATTATCTGACACAGTCACAAATATCTAGTAGCGTATCATGAAAATATGTTTTGTGTGAAACTACTTTTCGAACTCACTCTCACAATGCCCCTCCCCCTCCCCATCTCCCGCGACATGATATATAAAATACAAAACCAGGCTCATTTATTCTTCTTTTCTAATAAACGAGTCTTCGCAGTAATGTCGTTTGCGATAACCATAAGATAATAAACCATAAATTTAATTTATTCATGCTCCAATTTTATTTTTTCATCGTCAGCTTCTTTTCTTTGTATTTCATGATGTCGACCTTTTACATTGTCGGCAATTTTTTTTCGGTCGACATTTGATTTTCGACATTTTTTCGTCGACATTTACTACTTTCCCGATTTTTTTTACTATTATTACCTCTCAGCTGCGCAGACCATTAATTTCATATTTAATTTACGAGCTTCTCAAGCTTTATCTATTGTAAAAACCCAAGTTTGTCTGATGGCAGGATCTTAAGATCCTCTGATGCACAAAATGAAGGATTTTGAGCTGTTTTCTCAGTGTTAAATCAACAAATTTTCATAAAAACAACACTGTAAGGTGCCGGAAATTCAAACGATGAGCAGAATTTTTTCAGTTAAATGACACATCATTTGAAAGAGCACATCAAACTGAGTAAGAATACGTTGGTTATAGTTTTTCGAAATATTTTTTTCCTATCAAAAAACCTTGAAACTCGAAGGGTCGGATTTTTCGAAAACGCCTCTATTTTTAAAGTAATTCAAATTCTCTTCTTTATCGTCCTTTACATGTTTTCAAACAAATGTTTTGTGATTTAGCATCAAAAACTCATTCTAAAAATGATGTTGACTTGGCTGCTTCGATTTACTTCAATTTACGACCCGCAATTTTGGTCGATGATCTCTTTGAAAAAATTGAAGAACTTGAAAAAATATCAAGTTGTCTCAAAATTCGAAAACTCCTCTCATTGGACTCAGCTTTTGACGCTGATTCTGAATATGACCTTATTTTTTGTTGAAAAGTTAAATTTTGACAGAGAAAATGGCGAAATACGAGCAGGATTTTGGCAGAAATAGTGAAATGTTAGCAGAAACGAAATTTCTCACCGATGAAGCAAAATTAAAAAAAAACGATATATACTTTTGTAGCCCGTTGTCCAACGAATAAGATGAGATAATAGTTTTGGCTAGAACTACTAACTGAAAAAACTAGATAGGTTTATAAAACGAGCTGATTGGGTCCGATGTTGTCTGTCAAAAGCCAAAAGACTAATGCTTTCGCAACCATGTCAACATCATTTTTAGAATCAGTTTTTGATGCTAAATCACAAAACATTTGTTTGAAAACATGTAAAGGACGATAAAGAAGAGAATTTGAATTACTTTAAAAATAGAGGCGTTTTCGAAAAATCCAACCCTTCAAGGTTTTTTGATAGGAAAAAAATGTTTCGAAAAACTATAACCAACTTATTCTTACTCAGTTTGATGTGCTCTTTCAAATGATGTGTCATTTAACTGAAAAAAAAATTCTGCTCATCGTTTGAATTTTCGGTACCTTCCTAGTTTAAAAATAGCTAAAAAATAAAACGGGGTATTCAGAATAAAACTATGACTATAGACATACAATTTTCAGATATTCATTTCAAAACAGTAAATATGTACGTCTTATAGTACCGAAATCGGTTGCCGAACAAAGAGAAAAACGTTTAAATGCTTTGTAGACTACGTTAAACAGAATTATAGAAAACAGAAATTGATATTATATACGGACAAAAAAAGATACTGATTCCAGTTTTCTAGTCTACACATTGTTTTTAGAGTGAAATCATATTTTGGCTTTCCACTTGTAAAAAATAAAGATTAATAACTAATTTCAGAACAACATCCGACTGCATGGTATCCATACATTTTTTTCCAATTTTATCTCGACAATAATGTCTCAATGCCAATTATTCGCTCCTCTTTTTTAACGGGATCAATCGAACATCCATCGATAATAAAAATATTAGCTATCAGATTGAGAAAATAAGCACGTTTTCTTTCTTCAGTGCTTCGTAAAACTTAATTTCGTTCATTTATATGAATGAATTCAACATGAACTAGCTTTTAGAAGACCCATAAATATTTCAAATAAAAGTCGATGAACAATAACAGACTGAATGGAATGTAAAAATGATACGAGAAAGGATAGAAAAATTGTACATTGTAATCGTAATAATTAAAACTTCACATTGTCATTGACGAACCAAACACTATATTGTAATATAAAACTTCAGTAATACCTTCTCTTGTTTCAAACATACAATGACTAGTTTATCCTACGAATTGGCCTTAAACATTCACCGCGTACAATTTATCAAATTATAAGTATTTGGGAAAACATACATTTTGTGAGAGAATTCAATGCATTATTTATGCTTTTTAATGTAGATTTTCTGTGCTACCAACTCTTCCTTCAGAAAATTGTGCTTGAACAATCGGCGGTTTATTCTGTATTTGTACAGAGGCCTGCTTATTAAAATTAGGCTTAGCTTTGAGGGGATGTTGTGGAGGTGGTGGTGGCGGCGGCGGCGTATTTAAAACCGACATGGATGAAGAACGTTTTATACTACTATTATCGTCGCTTGTTCCGCGTAGTTTTTGAACCAGTTTTTCACTTCCACGTTTAATTGATGCTCTTAATTTTTGAAATGATCCACTTCTATGTAATCGTTGCTCTCCACCCGATACTGGTGGTTGTGTCCGATTTCGTCGTGATGAATCGTTATGATGTAATTCATCACTAATTCGTGTTTGTTGAATAACATCGAGTGCATTTGTAATGGCTTGTGGGTCATCTTGTGCTCGAACGGCACACGCTTCCAATATATCGGCATGATTGAAAAAACCTTGACGCCTATATATTGCTCCTAAATTTTTCAACATCATTGTCACTGTAGTCTGTTCAAGAGAATTTCGTTCCGTTTGACTATGAGCTAGAGGTTTTTGAGTTAATTTTTGATTGGCATTAGACAACTGTATATCGGCAAGCACTTCTTTGTACAATTGTGCGGCTGCTTTATATTTGCCTTCTCTCAAATAGAGGCTTGCTAAATTATTTTTTGTTTTAGCCACATTCGGATCATTATTTCCATAGTGTTTTGAATAAATGTCAATCGCACGTGTATAGTACATTTCAACCATGCTATATTTACCTAGAAAACGAATAAAGCATATAAATAACTTTAATTGTACTTATACACGTGACCTATGTGCGTTACCCATTCACTAACTAGAAGAAATTATTATGAATTTGTTTAATCTACGAATTATTTACAGGTTATGATAAACTAAATTAAAACAACACCGACAATTTGTATGTACGGACATGTGCGATGTCGGTGTCATTTTCATTTTAGTTCATCTTAACCTCATTTACCTTGTTTAAGACATAACAGCGCAAGATTAGTCAATTGTTTAGCAACAACCGGATGATCACGGCCGAATGCTTTTTCACGTATTTCCAATGCTCGTTTACACAATGGTTCTAAAAGAATAACACAGAGAAAAAAGATAAGAAAATAGGGTCACTATCGTCCTATTTACCCGCGTCTTTATAGAGATCCTGTTTTCCATATAAAACTGCGAGATTGTTGAGTGTAGCCGCTACTGCTGGATCTTCGGGTCCCAATACTTTTTCTCTAATAGCCAATGCCTCTTCTAGCAAAATTAAGGCCTCTTTGAACTTATTTTGTTCGCGGTAAACGAGTGCCAAAATGTTTAACATTGCAGCTCTATCCTGATGATCGGGTCCGTGTACTTTTGCAATGTCTTCAAGAGCTTGTCGACATAGTGGCACGGCCACTTCATATCGACCAGCTGATGCATATTGAATCACTAAATTGTGTATTGTACGAAATCGAGCCGACGTTTCATGAAGTGTTGAGTTCATATGACTCATACCAAACTCGTCCGAATACGAACCGAAACGTTTCATAGTTGTTGCTTGAGAAGTTTCATAATCGTCTGTAGTTTCTTTTTGTAAAGACAAAGAATCATCTATTCTCGAACTCGAATTTAGATCAAAATCTTTATCGTCGATCGTGATTGTAGATGGTAGTGAAGGTAATTTAATGATCGATTCGTTTAGTTCTTTGATTTCTTGTTCTAATTCAAGTTTTGTTGATTTACTTCCTTGAAAACGTTTTTCAGTTGATGATAGTTCATCTCGTAACCAACTGTTCTCTTGACTAAGACGTTGTACTTGTAAAAGTAACTTTCGTGCATCAGATTCGAGATTTTGCAAATGATTATTCAGCTCCACCATGACACGAGCTAAAAATAAAGTTTGTTATTGGTTTATTTAAAGAAGTATCACATCATACCTTCACCAATTCCCAAATCAACTAACTCCAACGATTGTTTCAATCGGGAATGTTTTACATTATTCTTCTGTAAATCATCTGATGATTTTGTTTTTGTTGAATTAATCAGTAGTGTATGTTCTTGACGTAATGTTTCCAGCCCCTGAATGACTGAACGAGTTCTATGTACGAAATCGGGTTTCATGGTGACAAATTGTCCTTCGATATTCATCGTGGTGTCTGTTGTTGGACACACCATCTTAGTCATATTGTGTTGAAAATGCTAAAACTGTAAGAAAAAAAACGAGAGGATAAGTTACTCATCGTGAAATGCTACGAACTTAACCCTTTATTATACCAACAATCTAGCCGTTTTAAAAGATTTACGAGAATGTAAATGATCTTTCAATTTGACAGTTCTTTTAAAAAAATGTTCAAGTTTTCGAAATGATGTTTATGGTAAATTTTTTACTTATTCAAAATGTTTTTACTCTTTGCATTAAAGACGGTCTACGTGCACTTAACCCTCTTCAATGTGACCTACTATACATATCATAACATGTCCACACTTTATAATCCCTTTCTTTATCATTATAAAGATATTTTCCTCTATTAATCATTTTCAAAACGATTAAATTGTCCTAACTATGATGTTTGCTGAAATTAAGATGACTGACAGTTTTCTTGATTAAACATGAGCGTTTGTTTACTTACTCATAATCATAGTACAAGACAAACTTTTGTATCGTTATTTTTTCTTTCACATATTTTATATTTTTTTGATCGTATATACTGTTTAAAATCAATTCTAATATTCTATTTTTTTTTCTCTTTCTTTCTTTTTCACTGTTTGTGAGCAAATTTTTGCAGTACATTGAAGAATAAAAATTTTTCACCATACTGATATTGAACGGATGGAGAATATTTAACGCTTGTTTATTTTAAAGTATAGTGTGTAAGCCAACGATTTTTTACCGATTCATTCATTTGTATGTATACGCAGAATTTACCACACAGACTAGTTTGACCATTCGATCAGTGATCATAAACATAGTCAAAACGAAAAGAAAAGCATCATCAGTATTCGCGTGCTTTGTACATCAGTTGAGGACGGAGGGAAACGGATAGAAAAAGAAAACGAGATTGTCTTGCTCTATTCTTTCTTTCTTGTGTACACATGCGCACATACACACTCTAGATACACTATAGATACACACTTCCAAATTATTAGTTTTTTATTCATTGCTTTATGTATAATGGTGAACAAAAAACGAGAAGAGAAGAAAAAAGGTGGGTAGTAGCGTGGTTTATAACGTGTATTGCACTTATCTTCCATATACAATGGTGCCATTACTAAATTTACATCTGCACAATGTTGTTCTTTTCTTCTTTCTTATTTTATTCAAGATAACCTGTGCATAATTGTGTCAGCTGTTGTATGACTAAAAATTTCAAATCAATTTTTCTTTTTGTTTTCTACGGGTTTCTTTTTTTTGAGAATTTTTTTCTTTTTTTTTTGTAATCTCTGATCACAATCATTTTACTCGTCCATATATAGTCCATTGATTTAGAATCAGTTAGTATGTTCAGTTTAGAAGAACAAGAGACAGAAAAATATGTTGTTGCTTTCGAAAGTGGCTTAGAGTAGCATAGCGGGATATAATTAAACCAAAAATGGACTTTACATTTCTCTTAGTTATGCATTTTTGGTTGATCAATATTTGAATTTGGATGACCACTCTGTATATTTACTCATACCGACACGTAGAGTGAAAGAGTAAGTAAGAAATAAGTGTCTATTTCCTTTCATTAGTCTACGTCGATCAAAAGAAGCAAAATGTTCAACGTGTGTACAAAAGGTATGTCTCAGAGGAGTACATACATCGTTTATCCAGGACATTTTTTAATCCTTATTTATCGAAATATATTTCAAAAGACATTTTACGATACATGAACAACCGAAAAAAAATTCTGTTGCAATTTCACGCACTTTACTGCATGAAATGGCCCACATTATAGAACAATATCATAACAAATTATGCATTAAATCATGGCATGCAAAAAACTGCGTCACGTTTCATGTTACAAAAACTGAGTTATTTTTCAATCTTTAACACAGTTTTCCACGGAAAAATTATGACGCAGTTGTTCGTTTATCATTTTATAATGCGTATTTTGTCACGTTTATGTTTCCAATCTATTTTTGTACGATAAACAATACATGAGACACATATAAAAACTGCGTCACACATCCTGTCACAGTTTTATGCATACAGAAAATCAATTAGTATAATCTAATTGGCTTAACGGGTTTGTGTTACCTTTTTCTTCTGTCTACTTTATTCAGTGGATCCTATAGGTCTCATTATACGTTAGTTTTTCCAAGATTAAAGATTAAAGTAATTCAGAATTTAAATAAAACAAGAAGCAACCATGTTGGAAGATCTCTACAAATTGCGCTTGTTTTGAAATATACGTTTTGAACACAAAAGTACACCGTAAAAAGAATGTGCTCTCTGCAAGGACAAACTAAATGTGCCTAACATATTATTTTAGGTGATGTATGAAGAAATGTCTACATAACTGGTGCATATTCTGCAGGAACAATATTCAATATGTTTCTGACACTTGTTATCTGGGTACTTTTTTTTCTGACAATATATAATAAAAATTCGATCATAATCATCAAAGAGATTTCGTATGCTAAACTTAGGTGAGAAAGCGAGACGAGATGAGAGTAGAAGCTATTAGAACGATCAGAAAGCACTTAGGAGAACGATGGTAGCCGTAAGCATGAGAAATCTATCTCTATTTTCACACTGTCTTCTTCCTCTCACTCCTTCACATATAATCATCATACTATCACACAACATCTCTCTCTCTCTCTCTCTCTCTCTCTTACTCTATATTTTCTTTTCGCTCTTCTTCATATAAATTTTGTTCAGTTCTACAGTTTAGGTCATACTGCTCTTACCACACAACGAGAGGAAAACCGCCAGAGTAGTACTATGAGTATTAATAGAATTCCAGTTTTCTTTACAAAAAAAGATATATGCTTATGTACAGTTTTCGTATACAAATATTGAAATCAACTGAGACAATGATGTAACATCCAAGCACTAATTAACAGTAGCTTAATTCCAGTGCATCGTATGATAGAAATATACGATGCAACTAGAAAAAAATCGATGGAAAGTCATCCAGAGTCATATTTAATCGATCTATAGTGTTAATATGATCTAATTTGACCCGTATTTCGGTCACATCATTCGCACTTTTACACAGTGGGTTTCTAGTCTGATGAAACAGCGTTAGAAAAACTACGCATACCAGCTCAATACGTTTCATAGATCACAGATAAACGTAGACTGGATCTAACTTTAACGTTACTAGAAAGTTGTTAATGCAAAATAGCTTCCACGAAAACAGTGTTAACACAAATAAGGCGTCCTAATGCAAAAAAATTTCGTTTACCGGAACATAATACAATAAAACTTTTAAAAAAATGTGAGAGGAGCAATCTGTAATTCAATATTTATTTTGTTTCTGAATAGCTGTTCTTATAGAACAGAAAGCTCTTTGCACCTTTTCTGGACACAAAAAACTTTTCGACGTTAAGTAACACGCGGATATTGATAATTGTTTTTTTCTCTTTCAAGAGGAAGAGGAAAAATAATTCCTTTCAAGGTCGATGTGCAGAAAAAATTCATTTTTTTCGACTTTCTTTACCTGTTTATTTTTATTTTTTACAATAATGAGAACAAATCAGACATCGTTCTTTTTTTAAGAATGTTGATATAATAGATTTTTTACCGGAATACTAATGTTTGCCTTGTACACGTTGTGTAAAATGATCCCCGCTATGCGTTTTATGATTATTATGACATCTACTAACTAAATCAAACCCTAAGCGTATATAAGCATGAAACAGAAATCTATTTGTCACTATCAGACTGATTAAAATTGCTATTTTAGAAAGAAACAGGAATTGCCATTATAACAATGTTAAATCAAGATAATTGAGAAAAATGCACCATAAAATGGAATACAAGATAAATAATTCATAATATTCCCCACTGTAATCTACAATTTAATATACCTCACATGATCTTTTATTAAAATTTTTGATATGTTGTTTTTTTGTTCGAGTTATACGATTGATTAAAATTAGAAAGTTTAATTTGTGAGGGGAGCAACCTATAATTCGATATTTATTTTTTTTCTGGAATAGCTCTTCTTACAGAACAGAAAGCTCTATGCATCTTTTATGGACATAAAAATCTTTCCGACGTTAAGCAAAATGGTTTTTTTCTAGATGATGTCATCAAATTTTATCCGTTTACTAAAAAAGTTTTTAGTATTTCTGTCATGCATCGTTAAAGAAAAGAGATAAAACGATAGAGTCTTATCAATTTCTCTAGTGTCTGTGGTGAAATTTTAGTTCGATCAGAACAAGTTCATTAAGAATGGTGATGATGATTAAATAAAAAGCCAAGTTTTTTTTTTTGAGGCTTATAACCGATGGGAATTAGGTACGCGATAAAAAATTGAAAAAATCGTTCACTGGTTGTCAATCAGTCTTAATAATACGAGGTATTGTTAAGTTTTCTTCTTTATTTTTATGAGAAATCCCAAATGACCAAGAGTTATCCGAAAAAATCGAAATCTGTTAAGAAAACCACGAAGTTTTTATTTATTTATCTAATACACAAATAGCAACTCGGCATGAGCATGCTGGATGATGGTTTACTATCAACAAATTATTACCAATTTTAGAAACGGATTATTGCCAATGTATGAGGCAAAGATTTTGAATAATAAAGATTATTTTCGTAAAATACTTGTTCCAAGGTTTCAGTTGTTGAAGGAGTATCGAAATGTTTCCTCAATGGAATTTTTTCTTCCGGTGAAACTCTAAGCCTAAGGCAATGGTAGATAGAATGTCAATTAGTGTATCATCATTATGATCCTTTCATACTTATGCCTCAATTATTTCTAACTACAAAATAAAAATACCAATAATATGACCAGATTATAAAACTAATTATGAATTTCAATTTTCCAATTTTCATGGAGCACCAAAGGATAAGATATTGCTAAGAATTATTGAGCAAATAGTGTCAAAGATAAATGTCAAAATTATGTCAAAAAATGAACATTGAAGCAAAATATATATCCTAAATATGACGTTAGAGTATGGAAAAATGATGAGTTTAATTATGAACATTTTTAAGTTCATATTTGTGAAAAAAACAAACAGTTGATATTTGTACTTTGCTATATTTACATATTTTTTTTTATTGATTTTCTGTTATAAAGCTAAATCAAGTAAAAATCCAGAAGATTTTCATCATACAGTATCTACTAATTTATCTGGTAAACACTTCTAAAAAATGGATTTTCTACATAATTCTCTGTTAAAGTTTGTCAATACTCTTCATATCTAGAGTATTGGGCTTTCCATTTCGATACTCTAATGTAATTTCAGAACACATTTCCATATTCAAATAGATGTGTTCTGTTTTTTTCTACTTCTATTCAATTGTAGAAAGTTTTATAGCTTTGTTTCGTACATCAATGAGGATCTTCATTTTTTTATATAAAATAGTTTCAGATTCGTGTAATTTACAAAGAATCATATTTTATTTCTTCTTCTCCTAATTGAAGATGATAAGAAGAAGAAGAAGAAGAAGAAGAAGCTTTTTCTAGTCTCTATTATTGTACACACATCGTATTTCGTTATAAACAAGAAACCTTGATTGGAACAGTAAAAAAAAATTTTCTAGTTTTTTCAAACAAAACAAGATACACACACTTATTACACTTAAAAATGAACTATAGGTAAGATTTCGTCATGTTCACATAGCTCGTTGTCTGATCTATTCTACTAAAAAAAGTACCTGGAATTGCTAAAAATATTTACAAAAAATCAAATGCTCATCATTCGTACTAAGTAAATATTTGTCGTAAAGAGAGACCTATGGTGATTTATACAAACTCGCGATAGTATTTCTCTAGAATAAAACTATCTGTTATATTATTAAACTATGAGCAAATACTTAAAACAAGTATATATATATTTTAATTGTATTATATTCAAAAATAGCATAAAATTTTGACACCTGAAAGTAGGTAACTATTTTTATATATATCTGAGATCATTGTCAATATACGTTTGTACTCAAGGTTCTTTAATTGATTCAACATATTTTCTCTACCTAGTTTAGTATTTATGAATAATAGCTCTCTCAATATACAATTATTTAATAATATCTATATAAAATTTCGTAATCAAATGATTGATCAATAAATTTGAGTTTATTACAATGACTGATCCAAAACAACGAGAAAAATGGTCGGGAAATATGGATTTTTTATTTTCATGCATCGGTTACGCCATTGGACTTGGAAATGTTTGGCGTTTTCCTTATTTATGTTATCAACATGGTGGAGGTGAAGGGCGTGTAGTTTAACAAAATTTCTTATCTTCAAAAATAAAATATATTTTTCTTGTTTAAGGTGCATTTCTAATACCCTATTATATTACATTAATTTGTGGTGGAATTCCGTTATTCTTCTTGGAAGTTGCTCTCGGTCAATATACTAGTATTGGTGGACTTGGTATTTGGAAAATATGCCCAATTTTCAAGGGTAAATTCATGTGTGTTTCTATCTTATATACTTGAAAATATTAATAAATACGTTAATTATTCAAAATAGGTGTAGGTTATGCAGCAGCAATTATTGCATTTTGGCTCAATTGTTATTATATCGTTGTATTAGCTTGGGCTCTCTATTATGTTTATAACTCATTTGCTAAAACATTGCCATGGTCACTGTGCGGTAATTGGTGGAATAAAGACACATGCCGAACTATTGAACAAATGCGTAATTATACAGCTTATTTAAAATCACACTTTTGTCAAAATATGAATTTAACAAATAATAATATTACATGTTATCAAAACATTACGTACCAATTACAACAATTTTCTAGTCCTGTCAAAGAATTTTGGGAGTAAGTTAAACATTTAAAATCACTAACATCTGTTAATAATGAATTTGATCTTTTACTATAGACGCAATGCTCTTCAAATTACCGATGATATAGGCAAACCGGGCAGTATACGTATTCCATTGGCTATTACATTAGCCATAGCATGGATTGCATGCTATTTTTGTATTTGGAAAGGTGTTAGATGGACTGGAAAAGTAATTCTAAAATAGTTTTTGATATCGTTTATAGAAATGTATCAAAATAATTTTCTTTTTTTATCACCCAAGGTTGTCTATTTTACTTCCATGTTTCCATATCTATTACTATTTGTTTTACTTGTACGTGGTTTGATGCTAGACGGAGCTATGGATGGTATCAAATATTTATTTATACCAGATTTAAATAAGTTGAAAACATCACAAGTAAAATATATAATTTTATACTTATTAATTAATTAAATTTATTTCAAAACATTCTATGTTAATTTAAGCTTTGGATTGAAGCATCAACACAAATATTTTTTTCGTATGGACTCGGTCTCGGTGCTCTAGTTGCATTGGGCAGTTACAATAAATATCATAAAAACTGTTACAGGTATAATCAACCAGTTGAACTAATTATTATTGTTCTATTTTCTTATGATTTTTATAGAGACACATTAATATTAGCTGCATTCAATGAGGCCACCTGTCTAATTAGTGGATTCGTCATATTTTCGGTTATTGGCTTTATGGCCAAAACTGAAGGGCGAAAAATTGGAGAAGTGGCGGATTCTGGTAATATATCTGTCATATATCAAGATCACAATAGTTTTAGTTAAAAATACATAATTTCTTTAGGACCTGGTCTTGCGTTTGTTGCTTATCCGGCGGCTGTAGCACAATTACCATGGTCACCATTTTGGTCAACATTATTTTTCATTATGCTCATATTTATCGGTCTCGATAGTCAGGTACACACACACATCAACTAAAATAGGTTCTATTTGATAAACTAACTATTATTTTAGTTTGTAACCCTCGAAGGTTTTATTACTGCATGTGTAGATGAGTGGCCCGTACTTCGTAGACGTAAAGAATTATTCATTGCTGCAATCTGTTTAGTTTCTTATGTCATTGGATTATCTACTATTACTCAGGTTTATAATTTATAGATCATTGTAGATTCTTAAAATATGATCATTTTTTTTTTCTTGTTGAACTAACAGGGAGGAATGTATGTATTCAAAATATTAGATTATTATTCAGCGAGTGGAATATGCCTGTTGGTCTTACTATTTTTTGAATGTATAAGTGTATCATGGTTTTATGGTAAGTATTTTATCAATAATAAATGAATAATAACAAATAAAGTTTTATAATATGTTTTTTGTTAGGAGCCGATCGTTTTTATGAAGATATTCATGATATGATTAAATATTATCCTGGTAGATTTTGGAAATGGTGTTGGATTGTATTTACTCCTTTATTGTGCACTGTAAGATGCAAAAAATCAATTTCTTTTCTTATTCACGATATTAATATTAATATATTAATATATATTTTGTTTTTAGAGTATAGCTATTTTTAGTTTAGTCGAATATGAACCAGTTTCTTATAAACAGTATCGTTTCCCTAGATATGCTGAAATAACTGGATGGTGTATTGCTCTCTCATCAATATCAGCCATTCCAGTGTATGCAATTTATATACTTCTTAAAGGATCTGGCACATTAAAACAGGTACTAAAATAGAATAAATAAAATAATCTATAATATTATAGATTCTATTTGTTTAGCGTTTTCAAATGGCAATTAAATCTAAAATTAATCGTATAAAAGTGATTGATGATGGTACAACGGAAGAAAAATTACATCTAGATTCATTATCAGCAATGACTAATTCATAGTATTTATGTATTTCGTTTATACATAATCTAGTCAATTATATTAATGAAAAAAAAAATAGATTTAGGAATGAAAACATTGTTTTTTTGTAAATTAAAATGTAAACTTTAACATTTAAAGTAAATGGACGTCATTTTTGACATAGAAGATAAAGGTTTATATTCGCTTGACACTTGATATACAGTGTTATAAGTAATAATAAAAACATTATTAATCTTGCTCTTGTGATTAGAAAAGGTGGTAACGTTAATTGTAAAAATATTCTAAAGTTTATTATACAATAACAGTTCTAATCTAAGTGAAAACGAATACATTATCAATCAATACACCTTGATATAGACCAAGTATAATCGATCAATCCATTAGTTTCTTTTATCAAGGGGCTAGTTGACCATAATCTCATAAAATTTTTAAAAATTAATTTTAAAAAAACTTTTAACATTTTTTAACAATATATTTATAGAAAAGAAAATATCTCTTTCTATAAACCATTCAAAACTCAAACTTTGTCTTTCTTTTTTCCAAAGAAAAAGAGGAAAATATATTACAAACAAGAGCGTTTATCTTCCTACACGTTAATATATGAATATATGTGTGATGTAGGCAAAGCCACCTCTTTAAAGTAAAAGTACAATTTATTTTCACTAAACTAATACATTTTCTTTTACTCATAATTATTGTTTCTATTTTATTTTATCGATATTAGATGATTGGTATGTCGACATAAAATACTTTTGTTTTCGCTTAGGAAAGGTATTAATGATGATGGATTTATATCTGTCAGAATAAAGGTGTACTCGAACCCTGATTAAATTGATAAAAAAGAATTATTATTATTAATATTATTCTTTTTTTCGCCTTCTTTTTCTCTATTGAACTTGAACGTACAATACTTAAGATCAAAATATCTTAGATATACGTAGGACTGACAAATTAATTATTTAGTCATACCGGGGTGGGTCATACTTCTTTTCATACCATAGATTGTTTTCAAAAACTCCTTTTTTTTTCTCTTATTTTGTCTTTTCTTTTTTCTTTGTTTTATCGGAATGTATAATAAAAAAAGTTATAGATGGATTATTCCGAGTAGACCACACTACAACAACAAGAATAAAATTGGTAAGAGACAAATATCAATATAGTCAGCTGTATATTTTATTTATACGAAAAATAAAATTCTTCAAGACTAGAAAATATTACAAAGAGGTATGTTAGTGATACGATAGATTCTTGTAGAACTTATGGATTGTACAGAAAACATTGTTCGAGGATGAATTCATATTGACTATTCATGTAAATAGGTGTACAATTTTTGTTTTTTGTACGTTAAGAGTTTAATTGACAAGACATATTTACAGGTAGAAATAGAATAACTATATCCAGGCATATTATGTACAAAAAAACATAAAAATGTTTTATCAATTTCATTCCATATTCTATAATTTCCTCAAATTTCTATAATTTAGAAAGAAAATAGAAAATAAATTTTCGATAATTAGTATTATATGCTGATATATTAGAAAAGTACAAAATCTTTATATACTTTTCATATGAGATTTTTTATCTGATTCATCAGTTATGAATATGGTCAAAAAAATTGTCATACCTTACGTTTAATGATAATAAAAAGTACAAAAAAAAAAAAGAGTGATCGAATTCTATAACATCTGACATGTTTATATTTAATAATCATTTCGCGTAGGTATGTCAGGCACTATATAAATATATCAGCCAGTGTTAATAAAGTATTCTGAGTTCTATTAAAACATAGTACTATAGTAATTATAGTTTTTTATTACGGGAATAAGAAAATCAGGCAAGTAATAATAATAGTTTTTGTTACTCTTATATTTCAGTACAGTGAAAATCTATTAATCATGTACATCTAGATAGTTCAATTTCACTAGAGTTTTGACTATGAAAATCGATTGAGGTTATTCTATCTCCAGTTAATACGTTTGATTGTATATCAAAGAAGTTCTCATCGTTCAAAATTCTGTGAATAAATGGTAGTTTTCTGTTTTTTCTATTCGATTAAAACTTAGATGGATAAACTTAGAGCGATAATTTTCTCAAACAGAAGAGTTATTCAAAAATTTAGCTTCATCATCACTACAGTAGTTTAGATATTTGGTTATTTTTTTTCAAAATTATTTTGTCTATGTGATTCATAAGAAATTAGTGAATCATTTTTATTTAAGTACAATTAACCTCTGTCTATTCAATATTTAATCTTTTCTAACTGTGAAACAATCTACTGTATTGTCATGAATATTCCCGACAGTTCTTTTTATATAATTGTATGTTGCCCGTATGTCATAACGACAAATATAAAACAGGAAACAATCATAAAATATTACGCAAAAAATAAACTTATTACATTGTATGAAACAGAATTTTTCTTGTTAATAATAATAAATTTTACCAATAAGAATTAAGAGTATTAGTTGTCACGAATCAATATTGAACTTGTAAATTATTATATAGTATAAAAATATTATTTATCGTATCACATTAGCATTGTTTGTTTTCTTTACTTTTTCGCGCAGGTATGGATCGGGATTACTCTCGTTTCGTCTTGTCTCATTTCGTTCCATACTTGTTTCGTCTCCTCTCGTTTCATCCCGTTTATTTTCTATCATTCTACTTATTTTATAACTAT